AGGGTCTCCCGTGGCCTGTTTTCATATACGTATACAGAGCTGCGCCGACGATGTCCGCCCATTGCAGCGTCCAAAAGCGTGTTGAGGCAGGCATTCGAAAATTCGAATTTGAATTCGTGCGGGCGCAGGGAGGCGGGCAGGAAGACGGGCAGGCGACGTGTAGGACGTACAAAAGATGGTGCTGCTGATCCCTGGTCGTAGAGAGCCTTCTTTCGCCGCTGCATGGAGTCGTCTATGGCGTGTGAAGTGTCGACTGGCAGGGAACAGTAGCGGCCTCTTTTGCGGCGGCGATCGCAGGCATTACACGTTAGAGTTGAACGGGCAACGACGATGGATTGTCGTGGCGGCGATGGACATTCGCGGTGGTGGCCACTCATTGAGTGAAGAAGAGAGGGAGGCGGTGGTGGTGGCGGTGACTGCCATTGTTTTGAACACGATGAGCGACAGGTTGTCAGCACAGCGCGAAATGCGTCTGCAGTTGCGGAAGCGTAGAGCATTGTTGCAATGCGTGCTTGAAGTGTCGGATTGCGTGGTCACATCTGAAGCAGTCGTGCAACTGTGTTCGACACTCTCCTCCGGCCTCTTCCCGCGCGAGATGCTGCAATGGTGGATAAAGTGAAGGACTGGCGGAACTTGGGAGGATCTTCTCGTACGTGACGACACGAGTGACGACTATTTCTGCGAGAAGTTGCGTATGTCCAGGCCATAATTCATGCAGATCATTGGCGCATGCGCCACGCATGTGGAGAATAAGGTGACACATTACAGGCTGCCATTGCCTATGGAGCAGGTGGTTGCGTTTGCGTTCTACAGGTGGGCATCCGGGAAGACTTACGAGAGCGGCGCGTCATCCTTCGGCATTGGGAGGGCCACTGGACTGCAGGACGTCCACGACGTCACTTCGGCACTGTTGAAGGCCACCGGCACGCCGTCAGATAACTACTCTCCCGCAAAGAAAAGTTTTTTGTCCAAGCGCAGGTGGTCGTGGATTTGGATTTGCATATCCTTGACGTCCATATCGGATACCCGGGTAGTGTGCACGATGTCCGTGTCCTGCACAACTCCCATTTGTGGAGGCGCACAGAAAGCAGGGAGCTGTTCGACGCCCCTCCGGAGAATCTGCCGCATGGCACATGGTGTCCTCACGCGAGGTAACCTTATCGGCGACAACGGCTACCTAGTTGCATGTCCATGGATCGTCCAACCGTACGGAGGAATCGACCAAGGTCCTGAAGAGGAGCGGTTCGACACGAGGCAGAAGGTGGCGCATGGGTGTGTGGAGAGAGCCTTCGGGCGGTTGAAGTGCATGTGGCGTCTATTCCTGCGCACCCACAAAACAAACTTGGAGATCTTGTTGGCGTTGCCGCAACAGTTTGTCGTCGTTTGCACTCTCCACAACATCCTCCTGGATGCGGGGATTGAGTTCGAGGAAAGCCTGCTGTGGGAGGTTGACGACAACGACATCCACAGTAGAGTGGACTTGGCTTTTGTCGGAAACGCCATGGAGGGGCGGCAACGATGCGCGAACGTCGACGGGGACCTGTTGCGGGATGCACATTGAGACCGGTTGGCACTGATGTAGCAGTGTGGGGGGGAATTGCGGAGGAGCCACGTTTGCAGGGGCGGGTGGTGCTGTATGGTTTGTTTATGTGATGATTAGCCTTTTGTGGGATGGTGAGTCGTCGCTGACTCGTTGGCCTGTTGACACGCCACACGTTTGTTGGCAGATGGGGATGGTAGGTTGGAATGTGCCACAGTACATCGACGATGTCGTCTGTGGCTTCTTTTTATAGTTTCACGTGTTTTGGCTGCACAGGTGGTCGACAGGTTTTCGTCCGCCTATCAGGCTATCGGTCTTCGACGACAAGAAGTGCCCGTGTGCAGTGTCTCGTAATTTTGCTTAATTTGCATTTCTTTATGTTTCACCTCTTTCTGGTGTGCGGCCGTTCTGCGAGGATTGAGAAACTTAAAGCAGTCGTTTAGAGTAGAAGGCAGTGAACCGCAGACAGCGGAACATGTGACTTTCATGTATTTGGACAGGGTTTTAATCTTCATGAAATTTTGTCACTTCCTGTGCTTTTCTGTCTAAGACTTTCGTTATTCATTTCGAAAGCGGTGGATGTGGAAAATGCAGTTTGGCATGCATGTCATTCAATGCAATGGTTATTTTTTTCATAGTTGTCCTTTGTAATAATCAAATTTTGAATTTTCCCATGGATTTTGAGGATATGAGCTGCCATGAATCCCCCCCGGAGGTGGCCACGTGCAGCCTAGGCTGTAACCCCACGGCCATGAAAAATAATAATTAAAAAAAAAAAAAAAAATCTGAAAAACACATATGTTATGCAGAAAAATATACTGAACATTTTTTGCCTTGTGGTCATATCCAAAACGTTACTGAATTTAAAATAAAAAAGCACATAAGTTTCAAAGTTTTTCTTAAAAAAAAACGAAAAAAACATAGTTTTTGCCTAGGAAATTTAGTTTTTGAATTTTTAAAATTCAAAGATGAAGTCAAAAAAAAAACAAAAAAAACGTTGTGCAATTTAGATCTCAAAACAATCTAGAACACCATATTTTTTTGTTTTTTGTTTTAGATTTTTTTTACGTCTAAAAGAATTCCTGAAAGTCGCGGCCGCACCCAACCGTGGCCGGAGCCGCGGCGGCCGTGACCACGGCTGCCCGCCGAGTTGTCGTGATTTCATGCCGCGTGTTGGGTTGTGTTTGACGCAAATATTTTTCCATCAAACCATTTCGGTTTTCAAACATGCAATGCAATGGCAAGGATGCGGTTGATCGCAGAAGGGTGAGAAAAATGACGATAACATGCACCGAACGATCAGCTGAACAGTCACAGGACCAAACACGAACAAAAAGAAAATTACCCGCAATTTCGCCCCCTTGTAACCGACCAACACCAACACAGCAAACCCCCTTTCCCCCCTCCCTCCGTCCTGTCTCTTATACACATCTAGATGTGTATAAGAGACAGGAACAAAATCGCAGCGCATCCATCGCCATCCTCCCCGCAAACCTTGTGCACCCCTCCCCCACTGCCAAACGTGTACCAATTCCAATCCCTCCCCCCCAGCCAACCCCTCTCCCGCCTCCCCAAACCAAAATTGGTCACCCTTCGATTTACGACGTGTAACCCACTGTATGAACCGCCCGTCATACTTGCCCACAACCTCATTGGGCAGGCGATCACCGACTCTCCCAACGGCAATCACCGACTTTCCCCACAAAGATGACCACCCACCGCAGCAGGTGTTGTGCCCTGCCTAATCCTGCACACAAATAAAGCTCCGGTTTTCAACCCCACCACACGTCCACATGACAGACCTGATATCTATCGACGTCGTAGTACAACTCTGCCTCTTAACAAAGATCGTAAGGGTTGGTGTTTCGACGGTGAGTCCATTCATAACCCGCCACTTTCCTCTCATACACACCCCCTCGAAAACCGGAATTGATCCCTGCTCCATGTCGACCACGCACCGACAATCACTGGCGGGAAAGGTGGGCATGTGTGTGTGTGTGTGTGTGTGTGTGTGYGTGTGTGTGTGTGTGTGTGTGTGTGTGTGTGTGTGTACTTGTGTTTGTGTGTCTGCGGAAGCAGAGTGGGAGTGTGTTTGTGGAAGCCGGGTTTGTGTGTTCGTTCATGTGCGGAAGGCGGCTGGAACATCTTCCGGGTCGGCGGGCTGCATATTTATACGTCTCACGTCTGTATTCCAGAAGCAGCTCCCCCGTTACTTGACCACATAGACCCCCGTCGACTGCGCTTTCAATCTCGTAAATCAAACACAAAAACAAGGAGTAAAAAACCCGATTGTCGATGCAGAAGAACACACCGTCGAGAATGGAAAAAGAATAAAATCATGCGAATGAAATGTCGATTTGTCGGAACACACAAAAATGCGATTCAAATTATAACATATTCCGTTGTCGTGGTTCTCTCCGGGCAATTTCAGGCTCGCCAATTATCCATTCCCGCACCACCCAGAACACGTTTTCGTCTTCCAGGACCGCAAAACACACAGAAGAGAGAGAGAGAGAGAGAGAGAGAGAGAGAGAGAGAGAGAGAGAGAGAGAGAGAGAGAGAGAGAGAGAGAGAGAGTTCAGTGTCATCTTTGTGAGCACGAAGTATCGGCCATACAAATGAATAAAAGATAGATGAGCGATTAACTTCAATAGAAAAAGGAAAGTGGTGGAGAATCCGCTTGATCGAAAGTGGCCAAATTCGAAAACCCGCGTCGCATGAACCGACCCATCCTCCGGTGTCTCTACGAGCATAACGCAAATCCTAAAACTCTTTACGAGCATCTAAAAATAAATAATAAAAAATCGAAGAACGAAGGAAGACGCGGACAAGCGCAACAGTGGAACGACACACAACACACATAGGAAGCACCTACAATGTCAAACGACCACGAATGGTGGCAGCGATCTCCATCAGCGCCCGACACATCATTTCTTGCGTTTCATCCGTAATGCGCTTTTTGAATTGCAACCTCCTACTTCAGTATATCGCATTGCCCAGTCAAGACACTGCATTGCCGCTTGCTCGACGAATCAATCGTCGATGACATGAGTTGTCCATGGAGGTCCATAACATCTACGATTGACTCAAACGTCTGCTCACGTGCATTCTTCCGCTTTCCGCCAGCGGCGCCGTGGCCCCGCTGCCTGCGTTCTGATCTGAGTCCTTGGTCGGCGACCGTTCATCGAGGCATCCATCACTGCCACCTTCACTCCCTACGGACTCCCCAGCTGCCGTTTCTCGCCTCGGCAACTGCACCTCTTCCGGAGAACCAGTGTCGGCCACGTTAGGAGGAAAAATTGTGTGATTACCTAGCATGCTCGCATGGATCTCCTTATACAATGTCCTCTCCATTCGGAACTTGGAATTGTGTTCCTTCCGTTCTTCGTTCGTCAGCCTGAAGAAATCCTTCTCGCCGCTCTTTCGCTGAAATCTCATTCTCTTCTTGTAGTTCTGGAAGAGATTGTCCCACTTCTGGAAGCAATCGCCGGCGTCTTTCACCGTCCCCAACGCGGCCAGCCGTTTTGCTATGTCCTCCCACTTCCACTCCCTCGTTCGCATCCAGCCGTAATTGTGACCCAACCCAACCTTGTGCATGTCTTGTTCCCGCTTGCATCCGACGAGGAGCATTTGCTCCTTCGTTTTCCAATACGTCGCCGATTTGCCACCGTCCTCGGATGCGCCGCCTCTGCCGCCCCGACCACCGGATCGACCTCGACCACCACCTCTCTCGCTACCTTTCGCCCTCCTTGGAGTCCCTGCCCTCTTTCCCAATGGCCAAATATGGACGTCCTTATCGTCATCCCCTGCTTCGATGTCCTCCGTGTCTCCATCGCCGTCGTCATCGTGGTATGCCGCATCACCAACGCCACCATCGTTATGTACCCGCATGTTAGATACTCCACGAGTGATGTTCTCCACGCCAGCTCGCCGACACAGTGGTGGTCTACAACCGGTGTCGTCCCTCACGCCGGCCTGCGTCGTCGTTGTCTGGTTAGACACCGAAAGACGACCACCGCCAATGCGCACGGGCCCTGCTGCGACTCCGGCATGGGGAGGGCAGCTGTCTCTACTACCTTGGGCAGTCGTCGCATTCTTGCCCTGCTGGCGGTCAGAGGATGACGCCCCGACACCAGCATTGAGGGACCCAGCATGTGCAAGTGGCGACTCCTCAGTATATGGACTTCGAGGACGGTGAAGACTACCTGGCGAGAGTTCGGGGTTGATGATGAACGTACGGGTCACTGGCTTCGCACCGCTGGACGACAAGCCGAACCTCAGATCCACCTGCCCATCGTCGTCATCTTGCAACCCTTGCCGCAGGAGGGAAGTGAACTCGCCACCTTCATTCCACCCGGACCCGCTAGCTGCCAGCGTCTGCGACCATATCTGTGTCCACCCACTACCCAAAGGTAGCGTTCCGAGTTCGTCCGTTTCCTGTTCCTCGTCGGATGGGGGCAGAGGCTGCTCGTGCGGAGGTAGATTGGCTGTACAACGATGGGTCGTACTGTCCTCGACGGACCGCCGTGCCTGATCCTCCTCCACAATGATGTGCCGCTGATTGTCTGCTGATGTGGAAGTTTGCCATTACTCGTTCTACGGAAGGCCGTTTCGTGGACACGCGTCGTTTTTGCTGTGTTGCTTCGACGGCCGGAATGCCAAGCACACATGAAGGAAGACGACAAACAAGAAGACGACGACAGCGAGTACCAGGAAAGGCAACCTCCGATACACATTTGCCATGAATGTCCGCTTCAGATGCAGCGCTCCGGACACATAAAGGACAAGAAGGGCGCCGACATGCCGACAGATTCGACTGCAGGTCCTTCATATGGCGCTTTATGCAGAGGATGTCACAGGCGGAAGCCAACGGTTCAAATTTCGACCGTTGGACCCCCTCCACTTTCTGCAGATCGTTGCTATCTCTTGCTGCACGGGTCGTCGTCGTCCTCCTCCGCGTTTCTTTACAAGCCAACGGTCCATTACGGACGAGAGGGCACCCCCGCTTGCCATCCACGGTCCACCTCGCCCGCCAACGGTTACTGGTGGTGGTCGTTGCCTCCGTCGGGCGACCGGAGGCCTCCGATGTCCGACCCTTGGCCTGACGGACAGCTTCTGCACCACGGACTACGAGACAGTGGTGCCATGCGCGCGTTGCGAAGACTCCGTGAAATGCAGTTTCCTAAAAATTTTAGATGCTCGTGAGGAGGTCAAAATTTTAGGAGCTTTTGCCTGGGGATTCGTAAATTCTTTAGGACAACTCCTAACGCCGTTTTCACATTTTCATTCACGACTTCGGATTTAGGAATGCGTGTAACCGCGCTGCATTCCTAAAAACTGACACTTATAGGAGTGTCTAAGGAGACCCTAAGGAGCTGTTACAGAGAGAGAGAGAGAGAGAGAGAGAGAGAGAGAGAGAGAGAGAGAGAGA